GGGTTACAACAATGCAATACGAGATGTAAAGCTGACAATTTGCTGCCATCACGGCTATGGAAATTGACATCAGCGCCTCTTTCAATTAAGAACTTCACTCTCTGTAAGTTGTTTTTCTCAAATGCAAGTCATAACGGAGTTATGCCTCGTTCAACATTGCTGTCATTAATATCCGCGCCCTGTTTCAGTAAGAAATCCATCACGTCCCAATGTGCCCCTTCAGTTGCCAAGAACAATGCAGATTCATCATTGGTGCAAGCATTTATGTCTGCTCCTTTCATTATAAGATAATGAACTACTTCAAGATTGCCTTCGGATGCAGCTACCATCAGCGGAGTGTGGCCATTTGCGTTAGCTACCTCTAAATCAGCGCTTCTTTCGACTAGAAATTCTGTTGCTCTCAGATTACCACCACGAGCTGTGACGTGTAGCGGAGTTTCGCCGCGTGTACTCGTTTCGTTGACAGACATTTCTTTATCTACTAGTAACGCCATAATGTCTACATTATAATATTCAGCAGCGAAGTGAAGAGCAGTTTCATTTTTGAAGCTGCGAAAATTAATATCAGCGCCTTTTTCAATTAAGTACTTCACTGTCTGTAAGTCGTAATTCTCAATTGCAACTTGTATCGGACTCGCGCCTCGTTCAACATTGCTGTCATTAATATCCGCGCCCTGTTCCAGTAAGAAATCATCACGTCCCAATGTGCCCTTTCAGTTGCCAAGAGCAAAACAGTTACATCATCGATGCAAGCATTTACATCTGCTCCATTCATTGCAAGATAACGAATTATTTCTGGATGGCCACCATATGCAGCCTAAATCAGCGGAGTCCGGCCAATTGCGTCGGCTATCTGTAAATCAGCGCCTCTTTCGACTAGAAATTCTGTTGCTCTCATATTATCAAAGCAAGCTGTGTAGTGTAGCGGAGTTCCGCGTGTACTCATTTCGTTGACAGACATTCCTTTATCTACTAATAACGTCATAAGGTCTACATTATCAGCTTCAACAGCGAGGTGAAAAGCAGTTTCATTAAAGATGTTGCGAACATTAATATCAATATCAATTAAGAACTTCACTTTCTGTAAGTCTTTAATTGCATGTAATAATGGACTTTCGCCATGTTCAACATTGCTGCCATTAATATTCGCGCCCTGTTTCAGTAAGAAGCCCATCATGTCAAAATGTGCCCCTTTAGTTGCCAAGTGCAAAGCAGTTTCATAAATGGTGCAAGCATTTACGTCTGCTCCATTCATTGTAAGATAACGAACTACTTCTAGATGGCCACGAGTTGCAGCCTCCATCAGCGGAGTCCGAAAAATACCGTCAGCTATCTTTAAATTAGCGTCTATTTCGAAAATTGTGATCAGGGCCCTGAAAAGGGCCATTTCAGTGGTCCGGGTGGTGCTCTATAGAATGCTTCTGGAGCCCTCGAAGATTGTGAATGAGGGGAAAGAAGGACCTGGCTTCACAGAGTAAGTAAGGAGTAGACCAGATATCTTCTATTATGAAAATATGCCTTTCTGGCATGATCGCTCAATATGCGGTACAAGAAAGAGCTATTGAACATTGAAGTGTCTGAGGAGAATACAAACAAACAACATCAGAAAAAGGTCTAACAATAACAATCTACTTAGATGCCTTTCTCTTTAGTCCTACGTGCAGAATATTGACATTCTTATTGTTGTCTATGGTTCTAAGTAACAGAAAGAAACTTTTGCCCATTGTGAATATTGGTTTGCACAATTCCACTTTACATTCAGCTTCATTACGCAGAAATTATCCGTAAATACTCCCAGTTGC